GAACAAAAAAGGGTTGGCGATAAAACTCGTTTATAATATGCCACCTTGGATTGGATTCCTATAAGTTTTTACGCAAGCTCGTAAAAACTTAAAGGAATCCAATCCAAGGCTTATCTGAAATCACTTCATAGTAACTACATTTTACAACTGAAAATTCAGTAAGTATTCTATTATAATTTTATCTTCATTTTATCATTCCTGTCTGTTAGTCAAATTTTGGCTCGTTTTAGGTACGTATTAGCACATTTGCATATTATCCGTTACCGAATGTAGAAAAAATGCAAATGACGCGGACGCCACGTGGGACAATCAATTTAAATTTTAATGTTTTTTATTACACCCACATGACGTGGATTATGTATCAAATTATGTCCCGGTTGTGTGATTAAATGCACACCTAACCACCAACTCCATGTTACGTTTATTTTGGGTAAATTATAATAATACGTTTGGTCTAAAATTCAACAACACATAGACATAACTTATTGCCTGGGGAGTAATAACTACCTCGCAATCAAAGTTTTGCAATCAAAACAAAATGTCGCCGACTATCGCCAATGAAGCTGCCGTACTACGAGAATCAAACTTGAACATTTGTTTTTATCAAAGACCTCTTGCTTGTAAAACAAGTTAGCGTAGTCGAGACTATTCTGCACTATGATATTTTATGAGTATTTCTCAAAAAAAATGTACGTAACGAAACGGTAGTAACGAAATAGTAAGGCCATAAGGCTTGTTATACATTGGCGAAATATTGTGAATGCTCTTCATTTATTCAATTCGAAATATTTGTAAGGATGCACCCAAATACGGGGTAATATTAAGGGGTTAGAAATAAAATGAGGGAGTAATCATTCATACTATTTTAATAAAATTATTTTTGTTCCATCATGTTTATCCATTTTGAGTCGTTCTCTGTAAGCTTTTTGCCTTTCGGCATTGGTTTTTGGCGGCATTCCTAAAAAAACAAAAGAAGTAATCACATAAAAACGTAATCTAAATGATTTGATAATTTTTGCTGGTGGCACTTCTGTAAAGCAGATAGTACCCAATCCTTTTCAACCGACTTCAAAAAAGGAGGAGGTTCTCAATTCGACCCGTATGTTTTTTTTTTTTTTTTTTTTTTGTTTGTTACGCGATAACTCCGCCAATTATAAACCGATTTGAACAAATCTTTTTTCGGCGTATAGGTAATACCTCAAGGGTGGTCCCATTTAAATTTAATAATAAAAAAAACAACCCCCAAGGGTGGAAAATTGGGGATGAACTTTTTTATACGCAATATCTCCGCCGATTATAAACCAATTTGAACGATTATTTTTTTGTTAATAGGTATCATTAACACTAGAGTACACGTGCGGACTACTATAGTAGACCAGGGTAACATTTTACGCTATAACTTTTTGAAAACTTGCGCCAGAGAGCTGGCATTCCAGGAAAGCCTCGTTTACTAAATTTGTCAGTAAGCCAGTAAAGCTTGGGTCGCTAGAGCCTGCGCACTTTTCTAAAATTGGCCGTCAAAACTGCGGGTCTACTCAAAAGCCCGAAATCACTCGACAAAAAAAATATGAAAGACTTGCAACAAATGGATTTACACCATGTACCAGGCAGTAGAAAGTCATGAATACTATGACAGATAAAAAACTAATCATATTTTTTCAGTCAATTTTTTTTTTGTTAATGTTGGTCTCAGAGAGCAATTTTGGTCCAAAAAATTTACAACTTTTAAATCTGTTTATAATGTTTGATCCCAAATACTTTTATAAAGAAAATTTGATTATAAAATAACTATAATAAACACTTTTATCATTTACATAATTATTCTATTCATAAATTGCTTACAAACTGATTTACAGTGATTTTAAATTGGCTTACCAGAGTAGGCCGCGCGTGTATTCGTGTAAAAAAAGGGGCGCGTGTACTGCAGTGTTAAAAGGGTGGTTTCATGCGAATTTAAAGAAAATATTTCACCCCCAAGGGTGGAAAATTGGGGATGAACTTTTTTATACGCAATATCTCCGCCGATTATGAACCAATTTTTTTTGGTCTCAGTGTACTGCCTACCTTCAGTGGTAACATCAAGGTAATAATTAGTGAACTAAAAAGCAAGAAATAAGTAAAATTTATAAAAAAAAATAAAACCGACTCCAAAAAACCTACACTAAAACGTAGAAAAATAATTACTAATTACCTACTTATTTATTAGGACNTAAATATAAAACATTTGAACTGTTTCAAAGCATACTTTTTTTTTTCAAAATGTACATTTTTTTTGAGAAATACTCATATACGTGTTACCGTATTACTTGTGATAACTTGAGTAAAGGCAGGGTATGGGCAGGGCACATAGTACGCAGAACTGATGGCCGATGGGGCAGCAAGGTTCTGGAGTGGAGGCCACGTACCTTTCCGGTACCCACCCACAAGTTGGACCGACGACCTCATAAAGGTAGTGGGAAGGCGCGAATTAACGCCGCCACCAACCGGCCATTGTGGAAATCATTGCGGGAGGCCTATGTTTAGCAGTGGACGTCCTATGGCTGAAATGATGATGATGACATTTCATGAGTAAAATAAAATATTAAAGTAAATAGAGATTTTTTCCAGCTTCTTTTTGCACATGGAATTTGAAAATGGAATTATAGACGCTTCTACCGGTTACAGGATTTAATATCACTCAAGAATATCGGATCTCGAATACGAAAGCTTATCGAAACACCCTCAAAGTTTGTCAAAGGAGATGCAGTTTGAGAGATTGGCTTTAGTTTGCTATGAATTGGAAAATATCGGCGCACTGAGCGCAAGGGGCTTTGACTGCGCTTGAACTGTGTATAACTAGGATTAGAAGTTCAGTTGCTGCAATGTTTATTGCATTAAGCATAAATGCTTCCTCTTGACCTGGTTTTTAATTAACCGATGATATACCTAATATTATTTTAAATAACTTTCCAAAAAATATCTAAATACATAAAAGCGAAAGGTCACTGACAAAATCTCAGAGAATATAACGCCTACAAATTTGAAAGTCTAAGAACGGTTTTTAAGAAATTCCACCCCTAAGGGGGTACAACAGAATCCACGCATATGAAATCGCGGACGGTCGCTACTATCCAATAAAACTAAGCACATTAACTTCTTATTCACGAATAAAATGAAGTCATGAATCGTTTATAATTATTTCCTCCCGTCTATGTATTTTGAGAGAGACCCCCGGCATTATAATAATCTACGACTAAGTAACTTTTTCATAACAAGAAAAATTATTAAAAATATGAATCCGGTAGCTTTTAGTCGCTAGGTACTATACAATACCTACTGCAAAAAACTTATTTTTCCTTTCTTCCTTTCAAATAGTCAAAAGGCTAGGAATAGAAGATACAACTCTTTAGAAATGTAAGTCACAGTCAAGCCATTGTTTAAAGCATAGTCGAAGTTCGCAGAAGTCTTTGGGTTTGACGCGAAGTTTGAAAAAGTGGCTTCCAGTTTGCAGCGGGCTGGAGCGAGTCACGCGCTGCTGCCTTCAAACTTTTGTTATTTCAAACAAATCACTACCTATAACGTTCACACTTATAAATAGACCTTTACTATACTGAATATGAGCTCTAAAACTATCACATTTACTTATTACTAGCTGTGCCTCGCGGTGTTACCCGCGGTAAAACGAAGCCTATGTATTAATCCAGGGTGTCAGCTAACTTCGTACCATGTTTTATTAAATTTGCTTCAGCTGGATAGACGTGAAGAAATAACAAACATACACACTCATAAACTTTCGCCTTTATAATATTAGTGTGATTATTATCAAATAATGATAAGTAGCAATAGTCGCAACTCTATAGTTATTAACAAAACCTTCGATTCAAGTAGGTACCTATTTCACGTAGGCACCTAATTTATTCGCTAAATGCCATTATTGCTGATTAGATAGTAGGTAGGTACTCGTATAGCCTGGACTCGGATCATTTACGAATAATGTTCAAATCGAAAAGCGATGGCGATTCTCATTATGGCCTTAGATTCCACTTTGGGCGCGTCAATAAATCCCCACACATCCGCCATCAATCCCTGAAATCGGTTTACGGTCAGCTTTCGTTTGATTCCTATCTATCATTCTGAGCTGACGTATGAGTGTCGGCATCGCAATCGCTCGTGTTGGAAAAAAAATATTTTAAACTCTTTGCAAAAAAGATCATAGCATAGAATAAATAAAACAAGTTTTAACGTATTAATATTGTAATATTACCTGTATTTGCCTGACGTTTCAACCGGGTTGCACCGGCCGTGGCCACAGGCTGACTCTCCAGTCAATATTTAATCAATTCAATATTATTCTATCCGCGTATCGCGTTAAAACCTGTTTAAATTATTCAATTATGCAATGTGAAACTTTAATATTAATCATAGCATAGAAGTCTGACATAATTTTGAAAACGCCAATAGCAGTTTATCTGGACACAAAGTCTTAAAGCGAAGCAAAAGAAAACCAATTTACCGACGCCGACCGCGGTTCGCACGATTGTGAATTGAAAACCTGGTCGGATAAACTTTCAATACTATAAACTTATCGCATTTTCTCTTCAGAGACTTTACAAACGATATAAAGTTTGTAAGTTACTGAACATAAACTTTATTTAATCAGTTTTGTTACTTTACTTAATACATAAACCTAAATTATATTTTTTTGTCCAGGGCTTCCTTCACGAATTTAGGCCATCCCATCAATAACAAGTTTTAAAAATACATCGTTAGCTTAAGAGCTCTGTCTCTGTACACTCAATATTCATTAACACGAAAAAATGTCTTCCTACTTATCCATATTATGATAGACACGAGCATCATCTGTTCCTGTGAAGCGCTATCAAAACCCACATTATTAATGTTCGCAAAATCTACCCCATGTTCGATACATCGCTTTTCTCACGGGGCTCCAATATATTATGCTAATTTGTTTCCAATCCTGCGGTTTATTTATAAACAATGAAGGAATATTCCTGTTCCAGAAGGAAGAGCTCCCTGGGGAGCCGCCGCAGAAACCGCTGTCTGTGGAGGAAATGTTCCAGGAAGAGGACAAAATAAAGGAGGTGCAAGCTGGTATGGTATACACTTATTAGTTATTAGAACAATTATTATATTAAAGGTTATTATACCTTTATTAAAATACATACTTGTAAAGAATACAATTCCCCACCGCCAACAGGAGGCGTGTCGTAAGAGGCGACAAAATCCTGTAGCACGAGATGGGCAGCAGCGTCTGCGTGCGAAACTTATTAAAAAAACTGCGCTCGCCAACCCGCCTGCCAAGCGTGGCGAGTATCGGCAATAATCCCCTTAATGGAAAGCATTGGGGGAGGCCTATGTTCAGCAGTGGACGTCCTATGGCTGAAATGATGATGATGATACCTTTGTTTGTCACCTGTCATCCGCTTTGCAATGAAGGGACGTCGAACCTTAACTTCGAACTCCTCCTATGTTCATCTGATTAATTTCATTACGGTCTAATGACAGTTTAACTTTACCACGGGACTAACTTGACCTTCACTTGTTGGGTTTTTATTGGCGGTCAAGCTGTAGATCCTGACTACACAGAAGTTGCAGCGGTGGGAACGAGAGGTGGGAATAGTCCCGTTATTATCAGTACAAGTTACCAGTAAATAAAAATCCTAAAAATAGCTTTCTGAAATGAGTGGACGCTTCGCTTTACTTTTTAAATTGATTGTTACATCAAATCAAATCGTTTTTTATGCAAGTAGGCTCCCAAAGACTATGCTAGTATGCATGACATGTATTATACGTCTTTGAGCGAGAGATAACATTAAACTTTTACCATAACCACTGAAGTGACATGAAACACACTGCTATGTATTTTCATATTCATTGAATTAAACTATCCTGATGTAGTATCTTGTACGCACAGATCATGCAAATGCCCCTACATTGTATATGTAGGCCCTCGCAAGCAATTTGTTATCACGTAATAGCTTTTGCATATTTATATTTGGAAGTTGTCGCAAAGATAAACCCCGTGACGGTAATAAACCACGCAATTTTTAATGAGTATTTTATTTTGGCCAATTATCAACAATCTTAATTTCTCCGTTTGTCTGAAAAAACGGTGATAATTTAAAAATATCCATTATATGATATTAGGTATTAGCTAATGAAGTTTGAATTAACTTGAAAACATTTTTCTTTAGTAAACTACACTGCGCTAAACCAAGCACTTGGCCGACTTTTTCATTTATACGCTCTTAGATAATAAAGTCGGCTACATTAAGCTTAATTAAACCAGGCACAGCGTTTGTTTACCAGTTCCCTCCCGTCACGGCACACCTGAGGACGTCGGAGGTTGGGTTCGTTAACGGCACCAGGCCCGCCGCCTCCTCCGGGACCCGCCAAATAAAGATGTGCGGCCTCCAAACGTCTGGTCTGGCCTGAGTGCTGGCGAGTGTCGATAAAAGTTCGACCATGAAACTGTAGATTGAAAACGCTCAAAAAGTTCGCAAACACAGTCATTTTCGGTGGCAATTCTTGCTTCAGTATTCTTTTTCTTCTTTTCGTGTCGACAACAAACCTACACAGTGTCAGCCCAAAACTCCGCCACAAGAGTGGCGTGGTCAGTAGCTTCAGTATTAAAAAAAAAATACTTACATTTTAGCTCGACTAGCTAACTTCAGTATAAATTCTTAAAGTACGAGATACCCAAATCTGTATTTTTAAATTATTTTATTAGTACAAACTAATGCCGCTCGCATCCTATGTGGAAATCCTTGGGAGAGGCCTTTGTCCAGCAGTGGACACTGGACGTCCTTCGGCTGAAACGAACGAACGAACGAACAAACTTAACTAATGGTGGTCGGCTATCATTAGATGACTTCTCTTACTTAAATGAAAAACCCCACACCATACACATACTTATCTGGTCAAAAAGTTATCGATAGTATTAGACACACGCTGCAACACTAAAGAATAGTTTCCACGACTGCGACATACCCATTTTGTTTGGTAATGTGAATATTTTCTGTGTTCACGCGATGTGAATATATCATCCATGGACCTATAAAAAAAGTCGGACGGAGTCTCATCAACAAAATACTGTGACATTAGGATACACCAGCTTGCCTGTACGTACAGGCCGGCACGCACACATTCACACCCTGTTACACCACTTCGAGAGCAAACTTCACACAGTTGACACATTTAAGCAGCGAAAAAACAACACGAATACGACATGTCTTGTGTGATGAAATTGTGTAAAAACCGTTCTGTTCGAACAAACAAAAATTAAGGAATCACATTTCACAGGTAAAATAATAATCCAATCACTTATTTCCCGACATTAAAATATTGAAATTAATTGAAATCAAACGTCATTCACTCGAAAAAATAATACGTCAAAGACCAGTGTTCTCAGTTATTTACGTGGGAAAATTACCCGAAATATGGGAAATTAATAATGATTTTAGGACTTTTTAGTTATGTATTACGCATACTATGGAAATAAAATAATTTATCATAATTATTGTGTTTTAATGGGATATATTTTCATAGGCAAATTTGATCCTTCCCAAAAATGTGGAACTGCGAAATTCAAATTTTCTTACATTGATTGCAAGTCAGTGTCAGGTTGTATGTTAAAAAATATCTATCAGAGATAATAACAATATATTGATGATGCATAAGATTATGATTATAATGTACACAAGATTCGTAATTTGTAACTGCGTGAATTATTTTTGATCAACATTATGTACATACCCTGACACACTGACTTGCAAACAATGTAAGAAAATTTGAACATTGAAAATTTCGCGCCTACCTCAACGCATACACCTTTCATCCTTTTAAAATGGCACGGAATAATTCTGTCTACATTTCCAAGTAACATCTGCCGATCTATGTTTTTCTTAAAATAAATGGGTAAAATGTTTTGGCTAACATGGCATCCCTAAATTCACTCACACAATAGACAAACGCCAAAATTTTGTGTCACAGTTTTGTTGTAGCGCGAGTTCCGTCCGCCTTTTTTTATAGGTCCATGATATCATCGTGGTGGGAGAGTGGACTAGTGCCCTACATCCCTCTGACAAATAACATTACTATTCATAGATGTTCCATTTTAATGCAACTAGACAAGAGTATCGTTTTGTAACGTGGTAACAGCAATGAGACCTGTTCTCATGTGAACTGCAACAGATGAAAAAATATCGAACACAGTAATGTTTGACTCGAAATAGGAGATCAAATCAAAATTGTGTTGTAGACAACACGAAAGTGTATTAACCCAAAGAAGTGTAAGTAAAACAAAAATAAACTTTACGCCAAAAAATATTTGTGTCAAGGGAATGGTTCGAATCAAGTGAGAGGAAAATTTTGACAGCCAGTGTGGCCCATAAAATATTCACTGAGATATTTCAGGGCGAAGTTTACGTCCCCAAATAAAAATGGGCACAAAGTTGTTTGAATGGAGACAAATAATAATTCTAACCTCGAGGGTTTAGCTTTAATTTACTACTTATCGTATCTCTAAAATCATTATTGAATTGTTTTTCGTTGATTAATTGAATTTTATTGCGCAAAGCGAAATACTCGTACAAATTAAGATTTAAGTAAAAGGCATAGCCTAAAGTGTCATGAACAAGTGCTGTTAATATTAATTTCATTACCAACGACATAATTTATAGTGTTTATAGATAAATTTTATCCGTAGTGAACGTTTTACCTTATTGATTACATCTGATGTGTTTTTCATGGAATTAAATATGAAAAGGTCACTTTATGAAACTTCCTCATACATATTTTATTTGGGTATCATCCGTTCATATTGGGTTAGTTTCCTTGGAGAGAGCATCTTTCTTTTATATTTAACTAGCTTTTGCCCGCGGCTTCACCCGCGTGAAATTTAGTTTGTCACAGATTGTCATAAATTATAACCTATATGTTATTCTAGGTTATAAACAATAATACTAATATAAAGTTTCATCAAAATCCGTTCAGTAGTTTTTGCGTGAAAGAGTAACAAACATGCACACAAACTTTCGCATTTATAATATTAATAGGATAAATATGTAAAGTTTTATAGCATTACAGAATCCTCACCATAGGTTGTCTGGAAGAGATCGCTTCATAGCGATAAGACCGCCTAGTTGTACCTTGTGTGTTCCTTTTCTTTCTGTTCTTATCTTTGGTGTCCAATAAAGTGTATTTATTATTATTATTATGTTTGTACGCTTTGGAGCTCACGGGTCAAAAGTGGCCCGGTCCTTTATAAGGCTTGCGTGGGGATACAGATCCAACACGTAGAGGCCGTTTTAAGCGCAAAATAATCGACAAAAGTGAAAGTGGTGTATATGCTGGATCTAGTCTCCGACTATATCATGGGATGTAGCCAGAGACCATCCCCAGCCTGTGCACAGGAGCTATTGCAGTTATTGGAGAATGGACTAGGGTTATGGATGAAGGATGGATGGACTGGTTACTGGGCTATGGATGGAGACTACGGGACACCTGCCTGGTTCATAGTCTCGGACTGAAAAAATGGCAGGCGGTGACTAGCCAGCGACTAAATGGGCCCCCCCTGGCGTCATGGGTCGTATAAACCGGACTGAGGGGCAACATTGGCGTCTGCCAGCTCAGGGGTGTAGAGAGGTGTGCTGCGCTTTCTCCGAAGTTACTCGCGGCGTTATGCCCTTTAACACTTCCACCCCTGGAGCATATAGCTCTAGTGACTCCACTCTGGCCGGCCGGTTAAGGCAAGCCAGAGGTGAAAGTCCTGCAGACCCTCTCGGATTCCACTTCGGCAAGCCGAAGACGAGGGTCTTGACCTACTCTCGGGAGCACTCGGATTAACAACTGGCCCCGTGGTGTCGCTACTCACCAATAGCTCGCCACAAAGCTGCCCTGCGGGGCTTATTATTATTATTATTACAGAAGGCAAACTTAATGTCATAATGGCATTGACTCCTAGTTAACCTTTGGGCCAAGCAGAATATTAGAGGTAGCGTAAATTATTGTCTTTTAGTTCTTGTCATTACAGAGACATGTCTCTAAGATGTCTCGAGATCCAAACTCAGTATCAGTAAGATTAAGTAAAT